CATCATTTAAGCTCTTCTAACAAAAAAAGCATCATATAAGTATGCTTACTTTTTAAATACAATCAATCAAGTCGTTTGAAACTACTATAGCACGTAATTTTTTAAAAATAAATTAGGATTATTGATAAATTTCATCAAAATTCATATAAATTTGAAAAATCATGTAACAATAATATAAAAATAGCATAAATGTAAAAATAGATAAATAATTTAAAAACGTTAAACAAAAAAAATTAATAAAAAATGAAAAAATAAAGTGAAAATGTAAAAAATATAAAATATAAATTGTAATTATATTTTAAATGCATGTAGAATATACAAATAATTTCGAAAATTCAAAAAAAATTGAGTTTGACATTGTGAAATTTGTCACAATTTTTATCCATATGCCTTCAAATTTTAATAATTTTTAGAGTTTTTAAATATAAAAAACCAGGTCAAAATCTGAATAAATGGCCAAATTGATCAATTTTTAGAGTAAGGTTACTTATATGATATTTTTGTTAGTACAAGGTTGAATTGATAATATAGTAGAAAGACATATTTAACCCTTTCCCCATTTAATTTTTATTTAGATCACGAGTAAATATATATCCATCGACTGTTCTTATCCGTGCGCCTGCATAGGTACTACACTAGTATTTTCATGAATTAAAAACATGTTTGAACCTTAAATATAAAAAGGCATGTATATATTCTGCAATACATTTCTTATAATACACCATGTTCATGAAATTTTGTGCTTCATAGATGGGCGCCGTCTGGCATTAGTAATAGACATAGGTATATTAGTGTGATGACGAGAAACATGGTACAATAGCCATATACTCCTCGTCTCATAAAAGTCACCCAGTTTGAATTGAATCGGAATTTAAAAAAGTGCGAATAAATTAGAAATGTATTATTGTATTTGAGTAAAAAAAAGATAAATGAAGATTAGTCACACAAATCTTTCCAAAAAAAAAGAGAAATTACAAAAATTTGTGATAGTGAGAGTATACATGATAGGTGTGAATCACAGGACTAGCGATTTGATCTACGACCAACCAATGTTACCACATAGTAAACCAAGGCAGACGTAAATTGAATATAGCAAAGACCTCCTGCTCCGCGCAATATCTTTAAATGCGAAGAAGTTCCGCATCTTTGACCGTTTTTCAGGTGAATCAATCCCAGAACAAATAAAATTTCTGCTCCAAACCATGCGGCACTGCACATACATAAATACGAAGTATATGGAATATCATACGAATTATATATATGGCAATTAATTTACTACTTCCGTAACATTTATATCTTCTCGTTTAAAAATATGTGAGATTAAAAATAATGAAAAGATATAAATTATTGAGTGTATAATGAAAAGATTTAGAAATGAGAAGATATAAATGTAACACCTGCTTTAGATGAGTACAAAATGATCGTCTCTTCTACATGATTCCTAACTTGATGAGGAGTTGAATATAGTCAAAGGCTCTTTTTAAAGAAATTTAACATCTTTCACGATATATATCGATACTCCGCAACATCTTTCACGATATTTACTTTTGGAAAAATTCACATGAATAATCTAAACTATTACGTGTATTCCATTATTAATCCCAAATATGAGTAATTCTAGAATAATACAAACTTCACATGTCATCTTCCCAAATTGATCCCTAGCAACCTGGAACCCATTGAACCGGTTAAAACTGAAAATAAAGCAAAAAAGGGATTGGTGGAGGGCTGAAACAAGAGGCCGTTCATATACTTTGGTGTTAAATAGTTGGACGGACGGCAAGGAGGAGCTAGCAGGCCTCCAATCTCTTCCGGTCTACCTGCCGGCTCCTTGTGCGATTCAAATTGAAGTCCTGGACACTTGAGTTTCACTAATACTCCGTATATAATAAGTACATTTCCAGATAGCAATAAACTAATCAACTGATTTATTAGGATTCATTTTTTTGGAATGAAATTTACTAATCTTGTCTGGTCTAGTCTGGTCTGATCTGATCTGGTCTAAATTGGTTTAGTCTGATCTGGCAAATGTGTGGCCTCTGTTTATTTTATAACCGTTCAAGTCTAATATGGTCTGTGTAAGTATGTTATGATTTAATTTTATCTGGTCTGGAACGGAAAACAGTCTAAAAGAAAACATCCTTACTAAAAAATTGTTGACAATTTAACTAATCTTTTTTGACAATTTAACTAATCAAGTCAATTGAAAACGGTGAAATAACTGAACGAAAAAATGAGTGATCAGCGATTCACCAAACATGGCCTATAAGATTACGCGATATAAACAAAAGGAAAAAAAAAAAGCAAAAAAGGCATACGAGAACTTAATATACACGGAGTATGTATTAGGGCTGGGACTTTGGAACCAAGAACCGGAGAACCGAACCGGACCGAACCGTTATGACCCGGTTCGGTTCGGTTCCAACATTTATTAGTTATTTTTTAACGGTTCGGTTCCTATTTTTTATTAATGGTTCGGTTCTCGGTTCCTGAAAAAAATATGTACTAGGAACCGTTAAGGAACCGTTAAATATAATAATTAAAATTATATATATTTCTTATGAGCATATATATTTTAATGTATATTTACTTACTTATTTTTATATTACATTCATTATTTTTGTTTAGTTATTCAACTATTTAAAACTATTATTCACTTCAACCGGTTCTCTTAGGCTTCTTAGGCCTCTCATTAGGTCCAAACTCCAGTGGGTCGGAACTTTGAGGGTCCAAGTATTTAAAATTATTATTTTCTTTAACTGTTTAAGCATATTTGTATCGTAATTTCAAACGTAGAATGTCTTTTTGGCAAAAATTTAGTCATGATTTGTAAGAATTTTTTTGAAGACTAGGAACCGTTAAATGACAAGAACCGAACCGTTAAGAACGGTTCGGTTCCTTATCGGTTCTATAAAATAATTTATAAGAACCGAACCATTAGTAAAATTTCATATTTTCAAACGGTTCCACATATTTGGCCTAGGAACCGAACCGGTCCCAGGCCTAGTATGTATACCATGTGAGGCCAATTAAGATTTTGAGGATTTGTTTGATGTAGTTTTCTCGAGTATTCGCGACAGATGTTTGGCTCTGATCAATAAAAATGCACACTGCCATCACTTGAGCAACCAGAAGAGCGCCCATCGCTAACGCCATCTCAAAAACGACGCCAATAGAATAGCATTCTGTCACAGTGCCATCCACCTACCAAAAAATTAAACAGCATCAATTAATCTATTTTGATTGGCTTTCAAAATGTGTACCGGTACCTTGCAAATTAACGTAGGTACCGTAGAATTTTCCTTAATAAATAGTTTTCTCACACCCGAGCTTTCAGAAACACGTGCCTCAAGGAGAGTTATCAGGTTCAATTTCAGAGGTAATGACTTGGGATTGAATCTCATTCTCTTTCTTCTGGGGCCTTTAGGGATGGAGTGCCATAGTTTTCTCGCTACCCGCTTTTGATCGTGTAACAAAATATGTACATTCTTCGCATATAGATTTAGGCTCAAATGAAAATGATGTTTAACGTGAGAACAGCCAAATTTACCCAAATATGATGCACAATGAGGCTCGCCTTGTATTTTTCAAGCTAAACATAATATTTACCAAGACACCATCGTAAATACTTAGTATTGAATTGGTTTGAGCAAAGTTAAAAAGAGAACCAGACGATCTTCATTGTGCATCACTTTGAGTTAAATGTGTGTGTTTTCATGTTTTGACACTACAAAAATATTACGGAATTGTCAGGGATTCGGTACGGATTGAATGATGATTTCGTGCCGAATAGATCGTGTCAACAAGTTTTTGCGCATTGTTGTAAATTCCTACCAAAATTCTATGTCAAACTTGTCAATACCGTGAATTTTTTTTGTAGTTTGACATAAACATCCTTGGAAACGTACCCATTTAATCAATAAATATGTGTGCGAGTGTCATATAATCAATAAGAAAAAGTTTGGAGTAGTGTTTACCGTTATTGGCTTAACTTGAAATGATGCGACTAATCCAAGAGTTCCTGCTCCAGGAGCGCCGATAAGAACCGTAGCAACCAACCATACAATTTTCGCAGCCATTTTTTTGAATGAAATAAAAAAGGTTAACTAGCTAGTTCTATTAAAAATGCACAATGAGAAAAGAATACTACTACTACTATAATATAATGTGGTGATGATAAATTGGTAAGTGAGAATTAATAGCTTAGCAGAGTGGAGATCGGTATCATATACGAGTATTATTTTACTATACGTAGTGTTATATGATATCGATCTATTTATACTCCATCCATCCTTCAATTCCCGGGTGGAAGCTATTTTAAGAAAATACTTCCATCTGTCCAAAAAGAAGTACTTCGTACAACTTTAAGTTTTTTTTTTTTTTGACTTTTTAATTACACCCTTCTAGAAAGAAAAATGTAGCTAGATAGCTGGCTAACTTGCATTTATGTCCTGTACCACACATTAGGCACCATTTGTAATAATTTTATCCAAACTTTTCTACATCGCTTTTTGGCAGCAAAATTGGAGCTAGCATTGGCTTTTCTCATACTTGAGTTTTTTTTCGAATTAATGTTAATTAATTAATTAATTACGGAAATAATGCTGGAAAAAAAGTATTTACCAAAATACTGCTGGCCCTTAACCACGGTCAGGGGTAAGTCGCCCAACCGTTGGGCGACTTATAAGTCGCCAAACGGTTTGGCGACTTATAAGTCGCCCAACGGTTGGGCGACTTACCCCTGAAATATGGTTGAAGGCGAGCAGCTACTGCCAGCCAGGCACGATCGTGCCTACAAGGGTACGCACTATCGTGCCTATGTCCGAAAACAGCATTTCATCTGGTTTTTCGCCCCGGTTCAACCCAGACTCATCTGTTTGCTATAAATAAGGTCTCCCTTCTCCTGTTAAAGTATTACGAACTAGATACAACACATTATAAAACATACAACACACGTCTTCACAATGACCTACTCTCAACAATATTAAAAACACCTTATAAACACCCGTAAAAAACCTTCAAATCATAACCGGAATAACACAATACAATCATCATATATGCCATAACAAGTAATCATCTAATATTCATACTCGAACACATCAATACACCATACAATACTTAACAAGACAAAATACATCAAAACTTGTACATTGTTCGTACAACATCTACTGCATAAGAAAAACTACAATACAAAAGACAAACTACAAGTTCTCATCATCAGCTTCGTCATGGAGATGTTGCTGCTCATGTCTACGCCTACGGCGTTGTCGTGGTTGAAGAACCACTCTCTCATGTTGCGTCTGGGATGATGAAGCCGCGGCTGCACTAGACGTGGATGCCATCTCCTGAGATGGGGGCATGTGTATAAGATGTCCGTAGTCTACTCGGCCCAACACATCTGAGCACAACGAGGCAATGCCTGTCAGAGCCTGTCCATACATGTCCACATCAGGAATATCAGTCACAGTGGCAGTAGCCCGCTGATGTATGCGCTGCAAAGCTCGTGTCTGAAATATGAAACACAATTACAATTACATTCAAATACATACAAGTATTACATAAATAAAATGACTTACTTTACTAATTACTAATATACTCACCGTAAGATGCAAAGCCAAGGAGCTAGGCTGATAATGATGAGTAGGGAGTCTGAACGAAGGAGACACAAATAACCGAGTGATGCTGTAGTACCATCCCATGTAGTCTCCTGAAACAGATGGCACATATGTGGGTGTCCCAACCACAGCTAGCTCAGCTCTCCTTTCCCACATAGTCACGTATCGGACATGTCTGAGTGCCCAATCCTCTGTATGCTTCCCACGCCTATCCAGCTTATGCAGCTCTGCATAAGTGTCGATAGGACGTGGAACGACCTGCTCAAACCCAAACTGTCGCATGACTCTATCAGGCAAATGCAGCTCAACAATGTCAAAACATATCAACGGGACACGTGCTCGCCAGATGTGAGTATGCTCTCGTCCAGCTGGGGGCAACTCTGCTAACATATCAGGTCTAAACGGCATCCATGTGATCTGTTTCATAAACATACAAAATTAGTATTTATTCTACACCTATTCTAGTTAATGTTATACTACATACACCATACCTAGTCCTCAGACATCCGATCCAATGCATCCCTGTAGACACCGAGCCCAGTAGCGGATGACATGCGAGATAGACCAGCATATAGCCACCTAACCATTCATGTAACAATATCAATAATATGGATATTATTAATTTATTAACATTCAACAAATACTCACATAAATACAAACGATTGAAAACATACTGACGGCCTAGAGGGTCCTCGCCCCGTACATGATGTGGTCCTAGCAGACGTGGAGGCTCATCAGGCAGTGGCTGTCCATCAATGCCATGATATCCGACTATAATGGGACGGCCAATGTGGATATACTCCCATGACCAAATCTGGAGGAGTAGCAAAAATCCCCCCAGCTCTGTGCTCCCTCTCTGGCAGCCGCGACACAGCTGCCTGTATAGATAAGCCAGGGTGGCACTACCCCAGCTGAACTGTGCTGCTACATCAAACCTCTCCAGCAAAGGCAAGTGTAGCACCTGAACCTCATTTCCGCTCTTGTCAGCAAAAATGGAGGCTCCCATCATCATCAATATATACGCCCGAGCATGCTGCTGGATGATCACCTCATCAGCGTCGGGAGGAAGGACCTGGAAGTGCTCCCTCAACCACGGCATCCTAAGAGATGACCCCTGAAGGTCAGTCCTAAGAACGGGGCGGATACCTAACAACCGCTCACACTCATCAACCCACTGTCGACAAGCAGTGCCTGTAACAGCTCTCCCATGAACCTCTAACCCGGTGAGTACAGCCACATCTCCCAATGTCACAGTCAACTCACCAACAGGGAGGTGAAATGAGTGTGTCTCCTGCCTCCAACGCTCAAGTAGAGCAGTGAGAAGGGATCTATCAAGAGGCACAGTAGCCACTAATCTGTGCAGTGTAAAAAAACCAGCAGCACGAACATAGGCTAGGACTCTGGGGTCGACATGTAAATGGGACAAACCCCGCAGGTGCTCGCGGCACCTATCAACCTGGACATCCATGCCAAGCCAAACATCCTCACTCCTGTGCGAGGCCTGCAATGTCAGGACAGAACGATCACTCGGCCCAGGATCCGCTATCACCTCCATGCCTACAAACAAATAAAATTTGTATTAGTTCTAATTGTATAATGTATTACTTTTTTTTTAACATTCCTTTTTGCAATTATTAAGTTTCCCTGCAAGGAAAACATGATTTATGATTGACTCTAAATAGAACCTTACCCGGCGGACCCCCCCTCTTGTCTAGACCATCTTTTCGCACATGTCGCTCTATTATGGCCGGTTTGGTGGCATTTTCCACATCTAACCGTTCCTCGTGGACCTTCATCCATCTCATTCTTAATACGGGTCGACTTTGGTCTTCCCTTTGCCCGAAGCATGGATGGATCGTGCACGATTTCGGGTCCATTGTAATTTGGCCAATAATCACGATCAGGAATCGGTTTGAACACCCTATGATATGTGGCGGCGTATTGGTCAGATGAGAAGAACTTATCCACAAAAGGACCATAAGACAAACTACGTTGTCTACTCACGGCTAATACATGAGAGCATGGAATCTTGTATATCTGCATCTTTTTACAAGTGCAAGTTTTCCGTTGTAGGTGGACAGTTTGTTTTCTCCCACCCTTTCCCAACGTTCGGCCACCACAACCGGTTTCCACCTGAAATATATCTCTCCCTAAATCAAATGGAGTGACAATGTGATGCTTTGCCTTCTCTCTATTTTTTTCAATTAAATCTGTAATGTGTGGGGAGTACTCGTGGCCTTGTGTGAGCCTCAATTTACTGGTTTCACGCCTATGCACAAAGTAGGCATTAACCCGGTAAAAAGACACCTGGACCAACGCGGTAATGGGCAAATATCTAGCATTTTTCATGACGCTATTGAAAACCTCAGCTAGATTTGAAGTGATGGTACCGTATCTGTACCCGCCATCGTGGTGCAGCGACCACATTTCTGGAGGAATGTTGGCCAAAAATTGGCGTGCATCCCTACTCATTTCACCTATCTTCTTGAGCCCACCATCAAATTTTTTTTCCTGATGTTGCCGTGCGGTCCACACAAAAAGATTTTTTAAATGAATGTCTTTGAAATGTGTGTGCACATTTGATGCAAGATGGCGGATGCAAAGCCTATGATGCGCATAAGGCTCCTCCCATGTACTGCCCACCTCATTCATTGCCCTGACAATACCTCCATGTCTATCTGAAATGACACACAACTCCCTGTCAGTCACAAACTGCCTAATACATGCCATAAACCATGGCCAACTTTCTCCATTCTCGGATTCAACAACTGCAAAGGCAACTGGGAAAATTTGGTTGTTCGCATCACAACCCATGGCCACGAGCAATGTACCCTTGTACTTTCCATACATGTGTGTGCCATCAATAGTAAGTACGGGTCGACAATGCTTAAAACCAGATATTGAGGCCTTGAATGCCCAAAAAACTCTTTGAAACATCATATAACCTGTGGAACCATTGGGGGGTGGGTACCACTGAACAACAGTTCCTGGATTAGAATGTTGGAGCGCTGTCATGAAACGGGGCAATTCGAAATATGACTTTTCATTCCCAACCGCCAAATATTTGTGCTATGGCCTTTTGCTTCCCCATCCATGTTCTCCGGTAAGATACCGTATACCCATATTTTTCCTTCAACATCTCGATGATAGTATGCACTTTAAGAGAAGGATCAGTGCGAATAATGTCAACCACATCTTTACAGATGAATTCTGATGTCAAGGCCACGTGATCTGTAGTGTCGATGTTGCCTACACATGAAGCAGAATGAGGTCCAGTATAACGCACAATTGTGAAGGTGTCAAGGTTGCCTTTGTTCTTTGTGGCGCGTATTCTCCAAGGGCAATGACATTCTTTCTTCCTTTTGCATTGTGCCACCCATTTGTGTTTATCAGACTCTATCACCCGATAGAATTGGTTCCGTTTGATAGAATACAAGCTCACCATATTGATGACTTGTTCTTTGTTGTCTAACTGTTGACCGACCTCAAACTCACCATCGGGGGTAAACCTTTTCTCACCTGATCCACTCATCCACGCATCAGTAAAGCCTTCAGGGAGATCATACATTCTAGTGAAGTGGCTAGACGGGGCAGTTGATGTCACAGTATCACCATCATCTTCATCAGATTCTGTCATGTCGTCACCATTGATGTTCTCGTCTGCATCATCATCACTTCCCTGCCCATCCACAAATGATGCACCGTTGTGCAAATACCTGCCATCCTCCTGTATAACCATGTCTAGTACAGGAACCTTTGACAACTTCCCTGCATTCACCCCTGCAATGACATCATGCCTAGATACAACAGCATTTGATGTCGATTGAGTAGCATTAACGTCAAAGCATTCCTCAATGTATACCTCCAGCGACGACATATCCTCCATCTGAATTATGCCCCACATATTTGTTATAGCTAGCTCATCAATGAGGGGCATAAGCATGTACTTTCCCCCGTTCATGGGAAATTTCATTTTCAACCGCAAAGAACGACTAGGATGAATCATTGTGGCTGCATGTATTTTTTGAAGGATCTCGAGCATGCAAGCGCCACGAGAAACCATGACAAAGCTGGTTCTACCACCTTCATGGCATATTTGCCCAGCATCCTCATAATAGTTCCCTCCCCAATGACACACGATTGGGAAGCTTGAGAAATCCATATTCTAATAACAATTCATTGTCCAAAATTCATGAGTACGCATCAATATACACACTTTATACACATTCAAATTTCCTAAATAAAAAAGCTACCAAAATTGTAATATATTCAAAAGTCGAAATTGACCAACAATTCACATCTCAATATGAAACTACCCAAATTTTGATAACTACATTCAAGTCTACATTTCAATATCCAAATTTAGCTACAATCAAGTCTATCCAAATGCCCAAATGTCAAAATACACATTAAAATTTACAATCAATTTAAAATCAAATTTCAACATTTCATACATATCCACATTTCACAACAACTGAATTCACAATCAATTCATAATCCAAAAATTCGAAAATTTTAACATTCAAAACCCTAGGTTCAAAATGACTTGAAATGGAGTTTGATTTACCTAGAATCAAGAAGAAAGAGTGTTGGAGCTGGAGATGGAGGTTCGCCGGAATGGGGTCGCCGGAGATGAAGGTTCGCCGGAGTTGGAGATGGCTCTCGTCCTTCGTCGGTCGTCACTCGTCGTTGGTCGCTGCAGTTTAGCTCGATGGGGGGTTTGTTTAGCGATCTGTTTCTGTGGCTGTCTGCGATGAATTTACTTAAGGGTAAGTCGCCCAACGGTTGGGCGACTTATAAGTCGCCAAACCGTTTGGCGACTTATAAGTCGCCCAACCGTTGGGCGACTTACCCCGACCATGGTTAATCCAGCAGTATTTTGGTAAATACTTTTAACCCAGCCCTAATTTCGTAATTAATTAATTAATTAACATTAAATAGGAAAAAAACTCCTCATACTTTGTATGTTATTGGTGCAAAATTCAAAAATTGTATAAAGCGGGTTTGTCTGGTCACGGTTCCAATCCGGTTTCAGACGGGTCGCTGGATTTTTCTGGAATGTCCAGTCCTGTTCTTGTAACATATTTTAATTATGAGTACTCTTTTCTTCATATACTCGAATTCACTTTATTTAATTAGTTATGTAGCATATTAATTTTTATTATGGAGTATTTTCTAATATGACTTTTATGAGTTTATAGAAATT